TCAGGTCCACATGAAGCATTTGCCCAGTAAAACCTGTCTCAGACCCTGGCATAGATATGCCACAATCTGAGCAGAGCCATTTTAACCCCTGTAGGCCCCAGATGAAATAATGCCCATCCATGCTACATGCTGTACACAAAGCTCCTGCTCCAAAGAGCTTGCAGTTTGAACATGTGCAAGGCAGCCCAAGGGTTAGATATGGGGAACTGAGGCACAGAGATTAAAGGCCAGGCTTTCAGAAGTGCCCTTCTCCTGCATTCTTCTCAGACTGCCTCTGCTCTTGAGAACCTACCCACTTATGTAGGTGCCTAGGAGAAGAACCTGTGGGCAGAACTCTTTGGCATCCTCAGCTCTAAATGACTTGCCTAAGGCCACCCAAGGAGTCAGTAGCAGAGCTTGGAATGGCACCAAGCTTCCCTATAGCTGAGTCCAGTGCCTTAAGCCCAAGATCATCCTCCTGCTCTGTGGTCCAGCCTGTAATGCAGAAGCACTCAACTCATTGCTCCAGGAGCCCCATTGAAGCCTGTGAGTTTGTTCCAGGAGCAAGAACTGCTCAAAGTAATAGAGGGAGTCTCACAGTCCCAGAGTCAGTGCCTCCCTGCTGAATGATCTACAGATGCAAGAACAGAGACTGGGTGCCGAAGAATTCATCCCTTCACATTCCCAAGCAATTCTCTGAGCAGGGAGCATTTGAGTCCAGTGCCAAAGGGCCTGCAAAAGACACCACACATCAATGAAATGAAAATGCTGCTCATTTCTGAGTTGCAGTTGCCTGACGTGGAAGGCAGCCAGCCAGCCTGTTTCATGTCTTGAAGATGGGGCACAGCTGAGGAACATTTTGTTTTTAATCTTTGATGTTTCACCACTGCCATGCGGCCTCAAAAAAACCCCATGGCCGAGCCTTTGCAACTGAAAACTCTCATTTGCTTTTGCATCTCATCATCCAAAAATACTCCCTCCTTTAGAGCCAGATTAAAAGGAAATAAATGCTGTTACTTCCCCCTTTGAATTTGGAGGTTCATTTAAAGTTTTCAGCTCCTTCCCAAGGAGAGGGAGGATTGAAGTAGAACAGAGATGAGGGGATTTAGCTGGGAGGGGGTGGGGAAATGCAGGCAGTTGAGAGTGGGGGAGGAAATGGTAGGAAAGTAGAAACTGGTGGAAGCAATGGGAGGTGAGTTTACTTTGAGGAAGCAGGAAGAGCAACGGGTCAGAGAGGCTAGATAGAGCAGAGGAGGAATCGAGTGGCCAGAGGGAGCTGAGGGAATGGGAGAGGGACAGTGAGGACTGATGGTGCCTGGATGTCAAAGCAACCCACAAAGGCTAGAGTCCAGCAGAGCTGAGTGAAACATAAAGGACCCTCTCTACCAGACTCAGGCCCAAGTTGGAGGCCAGATAAGGTTTTGGAGCTGACAGAATGAGGTTTTTGGTGAAGCATGTGATCCTACCTTGTGGCGATAAATGATAGATAGGCTGGGGTCCCAGGGTCATGCTGAGGCAGCGGGAGGTGGGGGCTTCATCCTGGTCCACTTCAGGCTCTTCCTAGCAAGGAAGATGAAGGATAGCTTATAAGCTGGGGCCTGTCTTACTGGCATTGTAGCCAAAGGGTTTGAAGGGAGCAAGACAGACTATCTCATATGCCCTCCATCCTGCTGAGCACACCTGCAGCATATGTCCCTGCAGGGCAACAGTGAGAAGGATCTGTAGAGCAGAAAGGTCCTTGGTCTAGAGCAGTGATGCTCAACCTTTTTTACAAGTAGACCAAACCTTAAAATCAGAAATGGGCTGAGGGCTGCATAGAAAGGCATTTTGCTTCTACATCTTGGTGTATCCTAAAAGTAAGTATTTTTCAGTACTATGAGAAAGGAAAACATACAGTTTTAGTCATTTTAGATCATTCATGTGAAGTCCAAAGTCCAATATACTGTAGTGCTATTTTACATTTTATAAAAATAAATAAACTTTAAAATAAAGCAGTGCCCTGTTCAGCAGCAGGGATTGAGATGATGAGCCACTAGCTTGCATTAGCCTGCAAGGAGTGGGTTGGCTTCCACGTGCTTAGTTTTGGTGGGGGATTGCAGGGCCTCAGGCCTGTGGGAGAGGAGGACAGACTGCCCAGCTGGCAGCACTATACCTTACCTCAGCTCCTTACCTTCCCAGTGCCCTACCAGTGTCTCCTGAAGGGGAGCTGTGCACTTTGGGAATGTGGTGACAGTGGGACCCCACTCTGCCCAAGAGCAGTGGGGCTTTCTCTGAAAGAATGGCCTGCTGTGGTGCTGTAGGCAGCCCAGTGCTGTGCCAGAGCCCTGTGGGCATGCGGGCATGGGACCACCAAGGCTAGGTCTTCAGTGCCTTTCCCCTTCCGTCTGCCAGAGTTTTTACAGGGATGTGGCACTAAGAAGCAGAGGGCATGGAGGCTATTTACTTCCCTCCCCCTTCAGCTGAAGTCAGCAGGAGGAGGCGGGGGGTGAGAGCAGCAGCAGCATTCACATGCACTGACATGCTGGTGACAGGTTATTCACACTGGCTTTGCAGGGCATATCTGGAGCACACAGGCTGGAGGTTGAGAACCACTGATCTAGAACCATCCCCACTCCCAAGGCACTGTGTCATGGGCCAGGCTCAGCACTTGTTAAGAAGAGCCATTAAAGCTGGGGTTGTCAGTGAGTCTGGATCACGTGCATGGAGGGTGGAAGCCCCTGAGATGCACGGGGGCAGGGCATAGAGGTGAGGTTGGCAGGCTACATAGCACCTCCTCATGACTGCAAGGCCTCAGCAGCACAGCCTGGGATCCACACTGCAGCAGTGTCAGCCAGGCCATCCAGGCCATCACAAGAGCAGAGACAAGGAGCTGTCCTCCAGTGCACTCCCTAGTCCTGCTCCCTCTGTGCTGGGGACTGCTGTGCCTTGCAGCAGCATGGCATGGCCTTAGGGTTTGCTTGAGGCCTCTCTCAAATGCCTTGGGGCCCCTCTGCATTTTTCCCAGCCACTAACTCAGCTGTAACGTCATTCCTTCCCTGACCTTCACGGAAGCGAGGTAGGCTAATGGCCCCATCCTCAGTGCGATCTCAGGAGAAGCCACCTGCCCTCGCAGTTTGTCCACCTGGGTGGGGCTCTGTGTGGGATCTCCACAAGCCACAAAGCAGAGCCTAGATCCAGGTCACCTCAGAGCAGCAGGAGAGAGCAGAGATCCAGCCTCAGTCAGTCCATGGTAACCCAGCCATGCAGACCAGCTCAAGCTGTCAGGACTCAGGCCCCAGTGCCCTGCACAAAATTGCTGCTCCCCACTACCATTCTGGCCTTTTCCTTCATCTCCACCCCCCCATTCATTTGGCCTCTCGGTGCCTCTCCAAAGGGCAGAGTGCACAGGCCCAGGCCCCTGGGGTCTAGAGTGCATATACCACTTTGTGAGGAAGTGAGAAGCTGCCAGGCAAGTGACTGAATGGAGGTACAGGGGTGGGTTTCAGCTGCATCCATGATCTGCTTTGCCCACATTGGGTACCTGGGTGCAGGACTGGCTCCTGCCAGCCACACTGGCTGCCTGCTCCAGTAGGAGGTCTCCAAGCATGGATGGGATTGCTACCCAGGGGGGTCTCCAGCTCCCAGATTAGCAGCAGCTCCTCATGACAATCGCTCTCTTTAAATCTTGCCACCTTCAAGGCTGGCTTGCTGCAGCAGCCCGGAGGAAGGCATGTGCCAATGAATAATTCATGGATAATTAGCAGTCATTTATTAATGAAGCTTAGGGCCTACCTGCACCGCAGCTCAAGGGAAACAACAGGCCAAGAGCATGAAGTCAGCAGAAGCTGATGTGTTTTGCTGATGCCGTCTTTGGCCAACGCGTAGCAAACAGTGTGGTTCAGATCAGAGACAGGCTGGGCCAGGGAGAGGCCAGTCCTATGGCTGGCAGTGGCTTCTGAGTTGGGAGAGATAGGTGCAGGGCTCCGCGTTGCCAACAACCCTCTGTAGGAGCTGGCACACGTCACTCAAGGTCTGGCTGGGCTGCTGTGACTGTTGTGGAGTTCAGCCAGGCCTGAGCCAGCCTGGGTGCTGGGACCAGGCCAGGGGCCGTACTCAACCCTGGTACAGTTGCAGAAACCACCCAAGAAGCTGCTGTGAGAGTGCTGAGCCCACACTGTTTCCAGGCTGCTAGCTAGCTAGGCTCTGTCCATGCCACACTGCAGGGTTGGCCTTCCCATGGCTGTCTGTGCCTCAGTTTCCCACCTTGACAAGGGGCAAGTAGTACCCCTGCCATACCTCACAGACAGGTGGAAAGGAGTCCACCTGAGGTGCTCCCTTGCTATATAGGGAGCCCCCAAGCTCCCCTGCTACTGGCCCCCTATAACACATACATTTGCTGGTCATCCAGATGAGTCACAAATCTCAGCAGCTCCCTTGATATCTACCTCCTCTCACAAGCCCAGAGTCTTAGTCCCAGCTTTACCCCTCAGTCCCTGGGCAAGTCTGTAGCCCAGGTTCCCCACATGTGGCAGACAGGCAGTGAGCAGGGCCTCACCTTTGGAAAGTGCTCAGTGTTACTTACTCCTCTCCCTCCCTCTCCTGCTGCTCCCAAAACCTGGGAGAGAAGCATGCCCTAAATGCTGGTCTACTGGAGGTTACTGGGCCCAAAGGAGGAACCAGCAAGTTCTTTTCCAGTCTCAGCAGAAGCCTGAATTCACCACCAGGCCTGAAAATCAATAGAGGAGTTTGCCGATTGCTATCGATGCTCAGAGACATGGCCCCTGCATTCTGCCTGTAGCCCTTTGCTGGGGAGCCAGTCCCAGGGCATCTTGTCCCACCCCAGCTCTCTGGCATCCCCAGGTGGGCCAAACAGGATGTGCAGTCCATGTTGCCTCTTCCCCAGGCCAGCTCATTCACAAGCCAGTGGCAATGGGAGCCTAGAGCAGCACTGCAGAGTCTGGGGACCAAGCAATGACTGTTTTGTGATTGGTGACAAGCAAGTAGCTTTGGGTTGACTGAGCTGTGTCTTCTTCCTTGGCCAGAGTGATAGAAAACCACCATATGGTGGATGGAGAGGAGTATGCCATGGAGTACCCTGAGTATGGAGAGGGCTGCCCGCTGCAGTGCGACTGTTCAGCTGACTGCTACCGAGATGACAGCAGCCACAGAGAATACAGGTATGTGGCCGGGGCACTGACAGGGACTATTTGAGTGTCAGGGCATTGGCATCAGACTACCCACATCATAGCACAGGCATGCCACACAAAAAGGACACTGGGTACTGGCTCATTCCTGTTACAGTACCTCCCCCAGCATTTGCAGCTCACCAGCCCAAGAACCAGGCATCCCTTCCTGGTATCCCAAGCTGAGGGCCAGGC